CGTGAATTCAGCAAAATAAGCCAATATAATCCAGTAGTCCATAATAGTAGTGGGTTATCCGTAGGACTGGCAATGTCAGAAGTTGTTGACTTGAGCCTTTTACAGCTCAGTATATTAATGTGGCTTTACTTTTTATACCACATGGTTATACTTTTCTGATAACTTAGCACTTTGTGGCGTCCAAGGGTTATGCGGTAGCAGCTCACACACAAAGAACATCATAAACGCTGCGCTGACAAAGCTCTACCTGCTTCTTTTGTAACCAGCAGGCACTCATGAGTGGGAAGAAGAGGCAAGAAAAGGAAAGATGGCTGGTGATGGGATTGTACGTGGCCCCATGGGACACAATTTTGGGGGTTCCTATAACATAATGGCAAGACTTGCTAGGGTACAGTGGGGGCAGTGAACTTTGATCCTACATTTGAGTTGGTGAGAATCTCAGCACTTTTATGTGGGTGGATGCCAGTACAACTCACATGCACAGGAAAAATCTCACGTGCTTCCCCCTTTTACTGTGGAGTATAAGAATTAAAAGTCTTGTCCACTTTCCATTGTACTTCTGTCTGATTCTTCTGATACTCAGGTCAAGAACCCAGAGTTGGTAACAGTTCTAAGCAGGCAAACAAAACACAGAAAAAGGTTCTTGTAGGAGACAGAATCAACATGGAGTGAGGAGAAACTTTGCTAAAGGGTGAATATCCTAAATGACAGATGAGAAAATTTTATTCATGGAAAACAAGAGGATGCTATGAATAAAGAAAAACCAAAATACAGGAAAGAACTCCATCAAACTAGGAAAATAATAGCATTATAGAGAGCTTTTAAAGGTAAGAATTGGAAGGTAAAATGCAGGAATTTTCTAGAAAAGAAGACAAAAATTAGCTTGCTGGGGGCACAGCAGTGTGTCCTGGGCTTCAGCTTGGCCCTGGACCTCCTGCTGGTCATGCCACAGCATGGGTCCCCCGCCTGGTCAGAGCCTGGGACAATGAGTCAGTGGCCAACAACGCACGCCTAGATTGCAGGCTCTGTCCCCAGAAGAGTGGCCATAGCAGGCCAGTATACACCACGTGGAGCTTGCGTGTCCTGGAGGCCTCCTCTTCTGTGAGTACCAGAGGGAACACTCCCTGTTCCCAGGCCTCATACCTGCAAGACATGTATGAAAAAATTTCCAAGCCAAACCAAACCTCCCCACAACACACAACATACCAAGACTTATGGAGTACAGAAACAACAGCATACAGAGGGAGACCCACCGCTGTCAATGCCTATGTTTCATAAAGAAGAAAAGTCTCAAATCAATAATAACTTCACTTAGAAACTTCAGGACCTGAGAAAAAATGGAAAACAAAACCCAAAGCTAGAAGAAGAAAGAAGCTGATAAAATATTACAGCAAACATGATGACATGAAAAATAAAAACAGAGAGCATCAATGAAGCAAAATGACCTCACAAGAATAAAAAAGGCAAATATAAAGAGCTATAAAAGGGAATATAAGCAATAACAAATTGAGTCACCTCACTGAAATGGGAGAGTTCCTAGAAACAAAAAAATTACCAAAATTGACTCAAGCAAAAAAATTCTACATAGGCTTAAAATAAGTAAGAAGACTGAATTAGTAATGAAAATACTTCTCAACTAAGAAAAGTTCAGGACCACACAGGTTCACTGGTGAATTCTACCAGTTTAAGGGGAATTAACATCCATTCTCCACCTCTTCCAAAATATAGGTGAGGTGGAAGTGACGTTTTCCATGAGACCAGTATAGCTGCAGACAATAAAACAAAGGAAAACAAAGGAAAGGAAGTTACCAAAGATACGATAAAAGAATATTTCTCAGAATTAAAGGATACTACCTTCCACACCAAGAGTGCTGCCTGCCACTCCAGTGAAACACATAAAGGAAGAAATCCCCACAGAGCCACGTCACTGGGAGACTCCAGCACGCTAGGCATAATGACAATGTTCTGCAAGTTCCCATGTGGGTGGGGAGATACGACATCAAATCAGAATGTACGAATCAAGATGGCAGAAGTTGGAGGTAAGAAAACAATTTCAAAATGTGTGGCAAGTAGACTTGTAGTTTAGAAATTGTATTCCCAGCAAAATGTTTGCCAGATGCTAATTAGGAAAAACATGCAGAGTTGGCATGCAAAGGCTTTGAAAAATTTCCCATAAACCTCTTCTTCAGTAGCCACTGGATGGGCTCCAGTGCTGTGAGGGAGCAAAACAAGAAACACAAGACGTGTACCTGGGAAACTGGGACTCCAGCCATGGAAAGTGGATAACGGGAAGTCACCAGGTAATGATGAAACAGGTGCCACAAGGACAGCTGTGAGCCCACCCACGGCATGCCCGTCCCGACGGGAGGAGGGCAAGAGCAGGCTCGAGAAGGATCAACCATGGTCAAAACAAAGAAGAGACACATAGAACCTACGGTGCATTTGAGAACCCAGAAAAGACTGCTGCCTAGGCTTTTCACAGCTCTTGGCCATCTGTAAAGAATGACCAACAGATAAGGTCTCGAAAAATATATATGTAAGCCTGTTAATTAGAACAACAGAGGCACATTTTAAAAACACCAACAATCCATCCAAAAAAAGCAAAAGTTATAAGTTCCTCGGACGGCAGTGGGGCAAGAGTTGCTACTGGGTATCAGATATGGAATGGTATTATCTGATTTTTAGAAACCACCTACATGGACTTATTTGATAATAGAATGCTGACCTGACTCACACCTATGAAAACTCTTGCAGGGCAGCAGGGCCCCAGAGAGTGCTGTCCTTCCTAGCCCTCACTCAGCCAGGTCCGATGACTGAGCTCCTACTGCTGCCTTGAGCTGCAGCCCACCCAGAAGACCACCCACCCTTGCCTCCCCCTGACTAGCAACAGACGGAGCACATTACCCTCCATGCCCCGCAGAAGTCCCCTCAGGGGGCAGGCAACTAGGCAACTGTGTCACTTGCTGTATCTTTGTATATTTGAACTGTTTTCTTTCTTCTAGATATGG